TGCACCAGAAACTATCATGTATTTACTTGCTGCGGCAACAGCAAACTTTGAGCTAAGTAGATTGGAGTAAGGAGAGATAGCCAGGATCTAAACTGGAACTCAAGTTCCAAACTTGGGAATAAAAGTAACAAAAAAAATCAACAAATGAATGGGGCAGAAAATGCCAATTCTGAGTTACTATTTTGTTTTCACAAGCACTCCTTTTGATCTTCGCTTGCTAAATTCTTATTTCAAATTGGGGACATCTTTAACATTCAAGGATATGGGACAACTGCAGGAAATTGGGATAAGCGCATTTTTAGTAGTAGTCATCAGTGCAGATTTGATGGGCTGAAGGACGTTTTCTGCTCTGTTTGAATGTATGAAGAGATTTTGCTCCTGGAAGGACATGGCCCTATGAGAGTTTTTTTTCAGAAAAGACCATAAGATTTTCTCAGAAGGTATTCACAAAGATACATTACTGTTTGCTGACTTCTGGGAGTATCAGAGATGGATTTGTAAAAGAAAATTAGTATTAAAGAACGAAAGTGAAGCTTAGCCTTATCACCAATCTCTTTATTATGAGAATGCACAAATCTTTCTAAGTTGGTGAAACACGATCAAATATAATTCATTTTTATTATTTTCCAGCATGAAACTATGCTGCATTGCAAATTAATATTGTGGTTGTTAATCTATAGTTTTACTTCTTCAGATGTATTTCTCAACTTGCAAAAAGAAGGATGGAAAAATCCAACTTTTATTTATAATTAGAACTCCTCTCCTTGAGGCTTTTGGTTGTAATGTCAACTATGAGAAAACTAAGTAAGCACAGGACAGGCTTGTGTTTAGGATTAAAATGTTGAGGAAAGCTTTTTGCCTGTGCCTGAAGAAAGAAATTGCTGTGCAAATGACCAGATAGATGTTCTCGCAGGTCTGGTCTTTTGGTCAATATTATTATTACAATTTTCACCCAAGCCCACCAGACAGAGATAACAAGGTGTAGAGCTGGATGAACACAGCAGGCCAAGCAGCATCAGAGGAGCAGGAAGGCTGACGTTTCGGGCCTAGACCCTTATCTGAAGAAGGGTCATCCAGCTCTACACCTTGTTATCTCAGATTCTCCAGCATCCGCAGTTCCTACTATCTCCCACCCAGACAGAGTACAGGAAGGTGATAGACAACTTAGTGGCATGGTGTAAAGACAACAATATCTCCCTCAATGCTAGCAAAACGCACGAGCTGGTCATGGACTTCAGGGAGCAGAGTGGAGGACACACCCCTGTCTGTATCAAATGGCACTGAGGTGGAGGCAGTCAAGAACATCTAGTTCCTAAGAGTAAATACCACCAATAATCCATCATGGCACATCCACGTCGATGTTACAGTCCTTGGAAGACTAAGGAAATTCTGCATGTCCGCAATGACTCATCAATTTTTATAGTTGCACCACGGAAAGCATCCTGTCCGGATGCATCACAGCTTGGTATGGTAGCTGCTCTGCCCAAGACCGCAAAAAATTACAGAGAGATGTGAAAGTCCATCAGGAAAACCAGCCTTCCTTCCATTGACTGTGTCTACACTTCCTGCTCCCTTGAGAAAGTAACCAACGTTATCAAAGACCCTTCCGGTAATACTCTCTTCCAACCTCTTCCATCGGGCATAAGACACAAAAAAGTTTGAAAACACATACCAACAGATTCAAGACCAGCTCCTTCCCCGCTGTTATCAGACATACGAATGGACCTCTCATATATTAGATTTGATCCTTCTCAGTATCTTCTCTGTAGCTGTAATACTATATTCTGCACTCTGTTTTATTATCCTGATGTACTTTCGTAAGGTATGGTTAGCACAAAAAACAATACTTTTCAGTGCATCTCAGTACATGTGACGATAATAAATCAAATCAAATCAAATCAAACCCCCACCCCTGCTCCCACAAAGACAAACCAATCCAGACGAACTTATCTCTCTTAGTTATTATGCTTAGGCTAACAATTTCAGATCGTTCAAGGAACTTGGCCATCATTACGAGCTATAGATTAGGTTCTCTGGTGAGCTGTCTTCCCCGCTAGGAGTTTTCAGACTAACAAAATTATCGCAGGATACATTATATCTACAGAACTTGTTGGAAAAGTTCAGCAGGTCCGGCAGCATCTGTGGACAGAAATTAGAATTAATATTTTGAGTCTACTGACATTTCCTCAGAACTGATGTTAGCTTAAAATGATTTTTTTTTAATAATGCAGAGGAAAGGTTTTGGTTGGGGGGGGGGCGGGGTGGGGGGGGGGGGGGGGGGGTAAGGAGTAAACGGTAGGTGGGGATAGAGCCCAATGAGAGAGAAGAACAGTTGGACAGACAAAGGAGTGAATAATGATCAGCCTAGGAGAATAAATAGCTATTCATGGGACTATTAGTGACTAACAATGCATTGTGTGGAATAGCAGACCATGTAATAACAAGGCCTGGTGCGTGGCTGTTGGGTTAAGGACATGTGAGAAGGTGCCTCTATCTCTAACAACTGTTGAACTCGATATTGAGTCCAGAAGGCTGTAGAGTTCCTTAGTGGAAGATGAAGTGCTGTTCTTCCAGCTTGCACTGAGCTTTGCTGGAGCACTGCAGCAAGCCTGAGACAGAGATGTTGGCCGGGGTTCCTTGAAGAAGGTCTGCTATTACACACAACCCATTGTTAGCCATTAACAGTCCGTATACGTAGCTATTTATTCTGCTAGGCTGATCGTTATCTACTCCTTCATTTGTTCAACTGTACTTCTCTCTCTTTGGGCTCTGTGTCTACCTACGTTTACTCTTTATCCCCTTCCCCCATCCTACCTTCTGGATTAAAACTACCTTTTTCCTGTCTACCATCAGTTCTGAGGAAGAGTCACCGGACCCGAAACATTAAACTCTGATTTCTCTTTACACATGCTGCCAGACCTGCTGAGCTTTTCCAGCAATTTCTGGTTTCGTTTCTGATTTTCAGCACCTGCAGTGTTTTCAACTTTTATACATTATATTTACATTTATATTAATTGCAGACACAATTATGGTATTAGACAAACTTAACAATCATCAGATATTGGAGATAGTCGGAACTGCAGATGCTGGAGAATCCGAGACAACAAGGTGCAGGGCTGGATGAACACAGCAGGCCAAGCAGCATCATAGGAGCAGAAAGGCTGACGTTTCGGGCCGAGACCCTTCATCAGAAAAGGGGGAGGGGAAGGGCATCCTGGGCCTCCTGCAGTGCTACAATGATGCCACCCAAAGGTTGCAGGAACAGCAACTCATATTCCGCTTGGGAACCCTGCAGCCCAATGGTATCAATGTGGATTTCACAAGCTTCAAAATCTCCCCTCCCCCTACCGCATCCCAAAACCAGTCCAGCTCGTCCCCGCCTCCCTAACCTGTTCTTCCTCCCACCTATCCCCTCCTCCCACCTCAAGCCGCACCCCCATCTCCTACCTACTAAACTCATCCCGCCCCCTTGACCTGTCCGTCCTCCCTGGACTGACCTATCCCCTCCCTAACTCCCCACCTACACTCACCTTTACTGGCCCCATCCCCGCCTCTTCGACCTGTCTGTTTCCTCTCCACCTATCCTCTCCTCTATCCATCTTCCACCTGCCTCCCCCTCTCTCCCTATTTATTTCAGAACCCCCTTCCCCTCCCCCTTTTCTGATGAAGGGTCTAGGCCCGAAACGTCAGCCTTTCTGCTCCTATGATGCTTGGCCTGCTGTGTTCATCCAGCTCTGCACCTTGTTGTCCCCAATCATCAGATTGCAGCACAGGAACAGGCCCTTTGGCCTTCCAAGCCTGTGCTAACACATTTTGCCCTTCCATACTAACACTACATATTTTGCCCTTCCGTACTAAACCTCTGCTTGTGAATTCTTGAGGAACTAAGTGTGAGACCACGACATTTTAACACTTACATAGAAGAGTCATTTCGGGATTACATGCTGACACGGTACTCATTACTACAGAGTATATGGTCAATTAAAGCTATCTTGGGACAAAAACAGAAATTGCTGGAAAAGCTCAGCAGGTCACCGGACCCAAAACATTAACTCTACTGCTGCCAGAGTTGCGGAGCTTTTTCCAGAAACTTCTGCTTTTGTTCCTGATTTACGCGTCCGCAGTTCTTTCGGTTTTTATTCTGGGAAAATTCTACTTTAGGCAGACTTGAAGATTATGTTTAAATTTAAAGAAAACAATGGATATTCAAGCAAATACGTCAAGGGGTTTATACTCACAGCTATGTGTAATATCTTCGTCATATGAGGTATCTCTGTTTTAAACTTTTTTTAACATGGCAGAGTCTTTTAGCAAGACTTTGACTCAATGTGAAGACAAAACATGGCCCCTCTGGTCTGCTTTCACTGACCCACAAACAATAAGTTTTAAAGAAACAGCTATTGATGGGTCTAGAAAAGAGCTGCTATTGGTTATTGTTACATTTTGTGAAAGACAAAATTCTTGGTGGAGCACCATAATCCCTTTTCAAAATATCCTGTAAACAAATGGTGCAGGCCCATTCATATCTGTCGGATAGCACTGCTATCTAAGAGCTTATCCCTAAAATGACTGCAGGTTCTTATACGGCTTAGCTCCACTTTACATTTGACACAGTCGAGCAGGTTAAGTTGGTAGTTTTCTTTGCAGGGTACTTCTTGATCCTGTTTGGCGAAAGAGAGGTGCACACATATGAGTGGATGGAGGAGGGAATGAGCCAAGTTTTCTACCTCAAGGATGACAAGGAAAAGATTAGGAATGGTACTTTATGAACGGTTAGGCCCGAGGTGCAATGTATTAACACCCGGTAATGCTTAGATAAATTCATGTCTGTTTCAAATATGGAGTCACTTTCAAACTACAAACTTAGAGTTCAAAGTGACTTCAGATATTATTACACCAATATAAACTATAGATCTAATTCAGGCAAAATTAGATTGAGGTACAGTGACAAAAGTTGCAAGAGACCCAGTGGGCCATGCTTTCTCTCTGTGACCACTTACCTGACTTCAACTGCGTCCTCCATCACTGTCATGTCTGTCTTGCATTTAGCTGATGGGTTAATGGCAAGTTCTGCTGGGGGAATGACGAAGCTTTTACTCAGAGGTAGCCACATTCCTTCCCCAAGCGTGTAGGTGAACCTATGAGAGAAAGGAAAACACTTGTGCTTAGGAAATGCAACTGTGACTGAGAACAGCAGGTAGAGCAAACATGGAGGTGACATTAGAGGCAGAGGGTTACACTTGGGAAACAGGCCCACTCAACAGTTAAACTTTTCTCCGGGCAAGCTCATCTTCACGGGTCCTGGAAACTGTGGTTGGATTTTACAGTCCGTCAGCCACTTGACTGCCTGAGATGCACCTTCAACACCCAGGTGCTGCCTGCGAGAGTGTTAGCCCAGTCAGTAGCTGGGAAGAGGTGGACAATGCTGGATGTTGCTGCAGCTCAGGATCAAAGATACTTCAGGCAGCCTCAATGAGTGGAGCAGGGCCAGGCCTCAGTGTGCAGTTTGGGAGGGGCAGTGAACATGGGACTGAGGCAGGAGGGAGGCGGGGGGTGGGGGGTGCACAGTGTGTGAAGTGATGCTCCAGTAGGCTGGGGTGGTCCTTTCCTGCTGATGGGGGTGATTAATCTGTTGAGTATAGGGTGTCTGAACAGGAGGGAGTCCTAAACCCCCCCACCCCTTACTCCATTGAACCTGCTGCTCAGACTTCAGGGCACCTTCCATCATTGCTAAGACACTGGCTACAGTAGCCATTAATTAGGTACCCCTCCAGAAGCTAGTGTGTAGTGTGTATGGACTGGCACGTCCCATCTCTCCATCCAGTTTTATGACCCCCCATGGAGAGGCTGTTCTTGAGGTCGGGGTGGGGGGCGTTGTGGGGGAGGGAAAGCGGAATAGTGTGAAATTCCATAGGAGGTTTCCACTATCAGTTGACAAACAGGAATCACACTGAGGTGTTCTACCAGCAAGTATCTGACGTCTTGATATAATAGAACAGAGTAGACAAAGCTGAAATAACAAGGTTTAGAGCTGGATGAACACAACAGGCCAAGCAGCATCAGAAGAACAGGAAGGCTGACATTTCAGGCCTAGACCATTTCTGAAGAAGGGTCTAGGCCCGAAACGTCAGCCTCCTTGCTCCTCTGATGCTGCTTGGCCTGCTGTATTCATCCAGCTCTACACCTTGTTATCTCAGATTCTCCAGCATCTGCAGTTCCTACTATCTCTGAGACAAAGCTGAAGTTTGTCAGAAAACAGGAGTGGAGGTATTTGAATGCTGAAGGCATGGGGCTTTTGTCATTGGCTAATCCAGAGGCCAAGCTTTGGTGAAGAAGGAGCCCCACTCAGAACCAACACCCTCCTTTATTTTTGAGCCCCCCTGCCCCAGCCCTCCACCAGCCATTGGCCCACCCCGCTTCTGCACCCACATCTCATGACTCCAAAGTGCTCTCAGTCACTTTTGGTCTAGGTCTCTCGTTGATCCCAGAATTATGACCGTTGTGTTGCCAGTAGCAATCAAGTTTTGTTGTTGCGGCGTTGTCTATGATGGAGAACAGTGTGCTTTTGATTAATGGGACACAGATGTCCACTGTGTCATTCTACTGGAGAACGCCTGCTTTTGGCCACTTTAAGAGAGGAGAGGTCCATGATACCAAGGTCAGCATGATGGCTAAGTGGTTAGCACTGCTACCTCACAGCGTCAGGGGTCTGGGTTCAATTCCAGCCTCAGGTGACTGTGTGGAGTTTGCACATTCTCCCCGTGTCTGCGTGGGTTTCCTCTGGGTGCTCCGGTTTCCTCCCACAGTCCAAAGATGTGCAGGCTAGGTGGACTGGCCGTGCTAAATTGCCCCGTAGAGTTCAGGGATGTGTAGGTTAGGTGGGTTATAGGGGGATGGGTCTGGGTGGGATGCTCCAAGAGTCAGTGTGGACTTGTTGGGCCGAAGGGCCTGTTTCCACACGGTAGGGATTCTATGATCTTATTACAAGTAAATTAGTACCAGTTAAGAAACAATGAACTTATGACGTGTAACAGTTAAAACTCACACTTGAATATAAAAGACCTCCTATACATACAGCTAAGGAAAACATGGGTCATCTGGGCAGATGGAAAGACTAGGAAGACATTTCAATGGTCCCTGTCCACAGAGTTCATGGGATTATCCATTTGCTTTATTGGGTCCTGCTACTCCTCAAGTTTCCTTCTCTAGGTAATTTCAGGTTACAGGTTGCACAGAGTGACTGGTCCACATTTATGAAGTCTCTGACTTACTGGTGAAAAACCAGAGCTTGCAGCAACTGACGAGGGGAAATGAATTGACTTTCTTCAGGCTTGGGGCATTTCCTTCCACAGAGGAGGAGGACAACTCCTTCCTTTCTTGAGAACTGGTGGCTTCTGACCCAAGCATTCACATCCACAAGTTGGTCAGCCACATGGGAGCCAATCACATACTTGTCAGCAGACAAAGGGCCTTTGTCACCAACAAATGGTAAACACACACCAGACCAATCAGCTGCTTGCTGCCAGCCGAATCTCCATTTGCACACAACCCTTGCCTCTAGCTCATCTTTAAATAGATTTCCCCCAATAGTTGAAGAAACATCAGTGTAAACAGTACTTACACTGAACATCAGATAACTAGCCTATAAAAATTTTAGCAATTGTTTCCACAATCTTTGATTTTTAAATCAGTCCTTTTGTCATTTCAGTCAACAATAAAAACAAAACAGAAAGATACGGCCTTTACAGTTAAAAGACTCCTGGGCTGTCAGTCAATTCATTGCTCACCATATCCAAAATAATCACAACCTTATTAAGTATTTTTGGATAGTTTAACGATCTAGGTTGCCTTTTTGTGCTCTTTTATCTTGAAACAAAATACTGATACTCAACACAAATTGACTGAAGTTAGTCATGACACACGTGTTAACGGGACACATAGTCTTATGTCTGCTGTATTCTCATCATGTTATCAATCTGCACAATACTTACCACTTACAATCAGAACCTAGTTCCTTCATTCATTTTATTGTTACCAAATTGTTAAATTGAAGCCCTAAAGCCACAGTTTGACCCAAAAAATCTTCCCAAGACATCAAGAAAGATTAATCATCACTTCATGGAATTTAGCTTTTCTTTTGAAAGTGCAGAATCTCTTGGCTGAATGAGTTCCTGCCATCCTTTTTGACATTGTACAGCAAACTCAGCAGATTCCTCTCAACCTTCACTCCTTGGTCAATCTACTGAATCAGCCCTGCTGTCAATCTGCCCATTTCCTTCACTCCAGCTACAATCTATCAGCAGCCTCTTGCTAACAACCTGTACCTCACTGTTGTCCATTGTTAAGCCTTCTATCAATCTCCCTGGGCTACTTTGGGAGATGTTTATCAGACCTATGATAGTCACCTGAGTACTGAATTAATGGCATTTAATAATTTTCTAATACCTTTCCTTGTACGCTGACGATGTCATGTTGTAACTTCCAGCAAATGTTATCTGTATTGACAGAATAGCTCGCTCATCCTGCTGTCAAACTCTATGATACCCATCTGAAGTCTTTTAAGATTCTTCACCAACTCAAACACCTTTCTAACTGGTGCCTGTTAATATCTGATAATGTTTTGAGACAACCCATTGGGTTCCTTAATTTATCTGACGCCAAACTGTAGTTAATGCGGCATCCCCAGCATCCATTTCTTTTCCCAAAGCACCTTCTCATCAGAATGCAGAAAATGTAATACCTGGCCTCTATACCCTCTCTCCTCAACATCCAAGGCCCCAAATACTCCTTTCAGGTGACACAACAATTTATGAGCATTTCTTTCAATCTAACCTGCTGTGCTCTTTGTGAGCAATGTGGTCTCTTCTACATCCAGGAGACCAACTTCAGATTGGGCAATCACCTTGCAGGCCACCATTGTTGGGACTATAAGCTAGAACATCAGTTTCTGGTGGCATGTCATTTTACTGCTCCACCTTGCTCTGTCCTTGCCTACTGAAGAACAATGCTTCATCCCTCAATTAGGTACTTTATTGCCACCCAGAGTCATCACTTAGCTCTGCAATTTCTGCTCCTGTTTTGTTGCCTAGTTTTTGTTTTTGTTTTGGTTTTCCTCTCCCCTTGCTTTCAGTCAGTAGTACACCTGCTAATGGGCTTTGATGCGAGGTTAGCACAGAGGGTTGGCATCAGACAGACACTAGCCTCAGCACATCCTCATGGCACATCTCCGACTCACTCAGAATACGTTTCTCCACTTTAATGCTGCACTTTGGGGTACATGGGCCCCTTTCATTATAATGCTGCTGTCCTAGATGTTTTGCGCAAAGGGACAAAAATCCACCTCATGGATTGGACCAAGGTATTTCTTAGTGGTCTTAGCACGCACTTGGACTCTTGCAGCATCTCCACACTGGCTTGCCTTTTTGCACTTTCCTGCCTCATTCAGAACATGGAGGTTCACAAAACCTTTGCCTTGCCTTGTTTCTTAGTGATGACACAGAGCCAGGCAGCTTGTTAGGGTTATGAGCAGCAATCAGACAAAAGGATGCACACGTTGCTATATCAGTATCACACCTGCCCCAGGTATCAGCAGCGAATACAGTAAATACACTGCACGTGCTTCAACCAAATGGCCATATCTCCAAGTGTAAGGGGAGTAGACCTCAGTCAAGATAAGGGGTCCTGCACAAATCAGTTAAATACAACATGCAATCCCACTTTAGGGGCACGAACACATCAGTCGGCCGCTTAACGGTGGTCGGAATCAGGGACTCCGTATCACTGCAGTTGGAGAGTGGACCATAGTCAGTCCTGCAGGACCAATGCACCCTGCGACGAGGATTCAGGGTCAGTTGGTCAGGGAGTTGCTCCGAGATCGTTCAGGGGTTTGCTCACTCATTAGTTGGGTCTACCTTTCCAAATCAGTCAGGAGTTGACCGTGGTCAGTCCAGGGGATCTGCTCCCAAAAGATAAAAAGAATGTTAGCAGGGCCCACCGCTGTGGTAGGGTTGCTGAGGAGGTCAATTGTGATGATTGGAGGCAGCATGTTGGGTGAAGAGATGACAGTAATTGTCAAGGAGGCAACTCACCATACAAGAGTGGGGAGACACATAAGAGGGTATTAGAGGAAATGGGTTGC